ACTTATGTTCTGAATTCTGATGTTCCTCAAATCAAGGAGTAGGAACTGGTGAAGCTATAGGATCTTCTTTTATTTTTTCCCTAATGAAAGCATACATGTTAAATTAGGTTCCTGGATGGTGTTAATGCATAGTGTTTCTGAATCCTGAAATGGGGCAGAGCAAATACATAAAAATACACTCTTCCTTCTACCAAGTGCTCTCAATTAATGTACTTACATGAATTAAAAGCAGAGATTTTTATGTGTCTTTGTGATGTTTGTACTTTTTCCCATCTAGGTTCCTGTTTCGCAAGTCATTAGAACTATATTATATATGTAAAGCACTGACAGTTTTCAAAGCAGTGTACAGTTTTTCTCCTTTGAATCTTTGCAGTACCTGTGATAGGAAAATAGTTCTCCAGTTCCCTCCCCAAACTGCAGCAGGAAGAAGTGAATTGCTCAGTATAGCAAAGAAAGTTGGGCATGATGAATCTGAGCACTTGAAAGCTTGTCTTAAGGACACTAGAACTTGTTCGGTTTATGTTAAATAAAGTCTCCTGTAGGGATTCAGGGTAGGGATGCTGCAACAGTACCCCTGAAACTGCTATTGCAGAAAGGCTGTATCAGACATTTATAATGCCCAAGGTTTTGACAGATGAAATACTATATATGCTGTTATGGAAGTAGAAGTGTTTTAAATTATTTTTACATTGAAATTCTGATCGTTAGGTCTTAGTGTTTTATATTTTAAAATCACTTTAGAACCATAATATAATTAGTGCTCCACATATTCCCAAATTAGTATCATTTGCTGGTAAGAAAATATGTCAAGAGGAAAAAGGATTTGCCAGAGTCCAGGTGGATTTTTCTTTTCTATGCTTTTTGTTCTAAATGGAAATGAGATGCATATTTGTCTGTAAATCTGTGGTTTCTCATATAAAAATAACAATATTTCAGTCTGCAAATGAATACTGGAATATGAAAATGCCTAATGCCAATAGATAGCCAAGGCCTGAAAAGCATTTTATGCTTCTGCAAATGCCCTGGACAAAACCAAAACATGGACTGTTCACGCTATCTAGGCCCCACTGCTTCATCTTTTACAAGTCCCTTTGTAAAAGTTACTTCTTTTTTGTCAGATTGGGAAAAAAGTTCTCTAGGTTCAGAACAATTCTCAGCCAATATTTATCCCTGATTGCTTGGACTCCTTTGTCTCCTCGTGGCTGTATTTATGTTTAGATTGAACTGTCTGTACCTTTCTCATTCTTATCTTCCTACAATGACATCAGTTATACTTGTTTCTTAGGCTAAGTAAATTAAGCTCTCCTGGTCTTACCTTGCAGAATTGTATCCATTTTACTGATACCAGTTTAGTATCTTTCCTCAACATCTAGGTACCTCAATTTCACTTAATTATTTGGCCTCTCTGCAGTGGCTTGAATACTTCTGGCAAAGTAACCAACTGGAAATTGTCTCCTGGTGCAGGCTGAGCTTTCTTGATTTGATCAAATTGCATCTGAGTCATCTTGTGACAAAATCTAAAACCAATGTTGTTTTGTTATCAATTAGCAAAAAATACAGCAAAATACTTGGTTTAATCTTCAAGTGTATGAACTAGTATTTGTACTGTGAACTGTATCCCATTCATTTAATCCATTCAGCAAAGTCTTCCAGGGTTTTTTTATTAAAGTGTGTGTCCTGATCCTTCTCTAGATCAGTGCCTCCCAGCAGGGCACTGACCTCAGCCTTGCAGTATCTGTGCTTCAGGCACTAATGAAAACTATGAGCAGATTCAGTTTCAAGACTGATGCATAAGAAATCCCACTTGCAGCTATCACCCAGCCTGCACTTTCTTTTCAATGTTGCCTTTAGCCAGCTATTTACACACCTCATCATCATACTTCTAGTTTCCATTTTCTCCATCTTGACTATGTTGTCCCCATTTTCCACATTTTCAGTGTATCTGATACCCCAGATCTATGAAATCTGCACTTTCTTGGTTGTGCCAACCCTGATTCTTGCTTTTCTTTTAGCCGCAGAAATGCTGCCAACATAATCTACTGTCTTTACTTGCAGGTTGCCTTGTGCATTGCCCTCTTTTTTTTTTTCCACTTGAATCTCTTTTTTCCAGCACTGGATTAAAATCTTGCAATTTTACAGCACCAAAATAATTATTCTATTCTACTTTAATAGGATGTCTGCAGTGAAACCACATCTGTAGCTGACACTGCACAAACAGGAAGAGTTCAGCTCTACACTGCCAGTTTGGGCTGATCTCAAAACTAACTTTTCCCTTACGGTTGAAACTTCTGACTCTTCATTGCTCCACACAAATATCTGAACATTAACTGTTCAACAGAATGTAGAGCTAAGGGACTAAAGGGCGTAACAGAAAAATAAGATCATACCTTCTTTCCTTGTAATATAAACCAAGTTTTAATAATAAAAACTTCTATCACGTTTTCAATGAGAATAACATATACATTTCAAGGTAAAACAGTGCACAGTGTAAATGCCCTTAGATGCTCTTCAATGCATCTTTAATGTTTACAGTGACTGCATCAGTGTGTGCCAGGATCCTCCCTGGGTTGTGTAAATTGCTGCATTTCTACTGGAAAGAGCTGATATAGACTGAGGATCTTGGCTGATGTGTTCTTTTTATTTTGGGTGTTCCTACAGTTCTTAAAATACTCAGTAAATTTTAAGTTGAGGGTTCAGTAAAGAAACATCCATTTCTTCTTCAAACAGCAAATGGTAAGAATATCTCTTCCAAAATTAACAAAAAGTGCATTGAAATAAATGATCTGCTCATCTGGCTGCTGTACAAAATGTACACTCAGCAACAAGCCCCTGTATCTGACAGCTGATGATTGATGGGTTGTCCTAGTTCCCTGCAACAGGTTGCTGTAGGTCAGAGGACACAGTTTAAAGTGAGAGATTAAACAAGACATGTTCCTTTCTCAAAATTCTTTCAGTCTGTGAGTGAAAAAAAACCCCAACAATTAATAAGGTTCAGAAAAACCTGCATCTCCAACAGCTGAAGTGTAGATTAAAAAAATTGAGACCATCATACCCAAATGGAAAACGTCTAATTTTAGTTTTTGAGTTGGTTTGAATGTTAATAAAATAAAAATTAAGCCAGCTAAAAAACAAACAATGTCACAAATAAAAACCCCAAACCTTTATTTTCTAGAATATACATCACTGCAAAGCGCCCCCAGATCTCCTAACTATGAACTGTTCTAAACAAGGCTGTGGAGACACAGAGGAATGCTAAGTTTCCTGTACATCCTCCTACTGAGGTGTGCTACAATTGAAATTCCTTAGGGATAGGTGGTCATGTTAAGGCACTCACTCCAAAAGAACATTATTTTTGTCCTGAGACTGCTGACATGTTTCAATTAGTTTCAGTCAGTAATTTGGAAAAAATTACTGTGCTTAGGGTAATACTGACAAGAATGGAGAACAATTTTTCAAACAAGAAAAAATAAAGTACATTATATACATGATTCCTTTTTTCTTTAACTTAAAAGCATCCCTAATACATCTTAATAACTGTATTAAAGACTACTTAAATATTGAAAGATTTTAAATAATGTAGATTTTTTTTCAGTAAACTGGGAGTAGCTGTGTAATTGCCAGCATATTGGTCCCATTTTAAACAATATAATTTTTATTTAAATCTTGTATATATAATAACATGATCGAGAACACATATTCCACTCCACATAAATAAGTATAGTTCTTCTGACCTGTTTTAAAAACTACATCTGCTCAAATAATCAGATTATAAGACTGTATTTTTCCTTTGTAAAGTTTCCTGTAAAATCCTCACTCCCAATCTCTCCTCTTAAATAGTACTGGGTTTCCAGAGTACATCATAGGGCATTAGTAAAAAGAGTTAATCTCAAAAATCTGAAAGCTACAGTAAGTAAAATGAAGTAATGTTAAGAAATATTATGGAATGTATACTCTGCAGCATAGGGAGATTGGTTCTCACTGAGCTGAAGTGGAAAATTTCTCCAGAAGAAATTCTTCATGTTCATATTTGAAAATAAACTATCGATTGTGCTATTTCTTGGTCAAAAGTGCAGGTCAGTTCATGAAAAAGTGGTGTTTATGAAGCTACTGCTCAAGTATGCTGACCAAAAGTATGCTGGCAATTAAAGGAATGCCAGATGCAGTACAGGGAGAGGGACATGTCATTCTGACTTTTCTCAACCAATCCGTGTGTTGAAGTCCACAACTTTTAGGTGGCAGCACAGACAAGTCATCAGTAAAACTGCACTTCCTTGAAATACAATTGTCACTTTTCCAGGTGTCCAACAAATGGGAGTAACATCCATCTGAGCTCTGGGATGTTTGTTTCAGGAATTTTGTCAAGTAGTCAAAGAAATACAAGAATCCTGCACATGCTGCATGAGCTCAAAGGCAGGTTCTCAGTGGCTGTGTTCA